CAGAAACTTCAGCGACAGCCGGGAGAAAGGTGCGGAAATAAAAAGGAGGCAGGCTGCAGGAAAGGAGGTCTTTGTTTATTTGGTAGCCAGANACTCTGTTTATTTGGTAGCCAGAGACTTCAGCGACAGCCGGGAGAAAGGTGCGGAAATAAAAAGGAGGCAGGCTGCAGGAAAGGAGGTCTTTGTTTATTTGGTAGCCAGAAACTTCAGCGACAGCCGGGAGAAAGGTGCGGAAATAAAAAGGAGGCAGGCTGCAGGAAAGGAGGTTTCTGTTTATTTGGTAGCCAGAGAATTCAGTGACAGCCGGGAGAAAGGTGCGGAAATAAAATGGAGGCAGGCTGCAGGAACTCTGTTTATTTGGTAGCCAGAGACTTCAGCGACAGCCGGGAGGAAGGCGCGGAAATAAAATGGAGGCAGGCTGCAGGAAAGGAGGTCTCTGTTTATTTGGTAGCCAGAGACTTCAGCGACAGCCGGGAGGAAGACGCTGAAATAAAATGGAGGCAGGCTGCAGGAAAGGAGGTCTCTGTTTATTTGGTAGCCAGAAACTTCAGCGACAGCCGGGAGAAAGGTGCTGAAATAAAATGGAGGCAGGCTGCAGGAAAGGAGGTCTTTGTTTATTTGGTAGCCAGAAACTTCAGTGACACCAGCAGGTTTCCGGGGGTGGCTGACAAATTGGGGCCGAGAGTAGGTGGGGTTTTTTTACACATTCTTTGGGGATTTGCGATTGAGATGCCCGGTCCTGCGTAAGAATACGTCCTTTCATATTTTAATGGGGTCGTGTGGGGGTCATGGCTGACTCTTTAGGAAAGAGGAGAAATGCAAATCCTAGCGTGTTTGTCAGCTTCGGCTCCGTGCCTATCGCGTTGTTTATGAGGAGTTTCTGGCTGCCCTTTGCTCATGTACAGAGTGCCCCAGTTTTCTGAACGGATTACAAAATCTCCATTGCTAAAGAGTAGCCTCTTCGGGTTTCTGCTGGATGCCGTTCTCCTACAGCAGGAAGACTGGGGGTGCTTTCTGCGTTTAAGAAAATATCCGTCCTCTTCTCCTTTAGGGGAAATATTCTATCCTGCCTCTTTTCAATATTAAAAATAAAGAATATTTTATTCCGGGGATGGGGTGCGGGGGCTTCCTACAATACGAAGTGGCCAGCAAATGGCCCTCGCTACTTCACCTATCCGGCTTGATGGGCTCTGGGGGAGGGTTTCAGCAGGCAGCGGGGTGCTCTCCTCACAGCATCAAGAGGCTGAGCTGGGTGGCGCGAATCTGATGAGAAGTGCAATGCTGCCTAGCTCTCAGCCTGCCCAGTTTCAGCAGGCAGCAAGGTGCAAAGCTGGCGAGCTTCGCACCGCCCGGCTCAACCTCTCGGCGCTGTGAGGAGAGCGCCCCGCTGCCTGCTGAAACCACGCCCACCCAGTAGGCCACACCCATTTCATCCATGCCCACCCAGTAGGCCACACCCACCCTGGCCACACACACCCCCAGGGCAACCACAATGCTGATGCGGCCTTCAATGAAATTGAGTTTGACACCCTACACCATTTCTGACAGGTGGCATTCCAGGCTGTTCTTGAAAGCGTCCAGTGATGAAGCGCCAACCTCTGAAGGCAATTTCTGTTCCACTGGTTGATTGTCCTCACTGTCAGAAAAATTCTCCTTATTTCCAGGTTGAATCTGCCCTGGATCAGTTTCCATCTGTTATTCCTTGTCAGGTGCTTTGGAAAATAGGTCGACCCCCCCCTCCTCTCTGTGACAGCCCCTCAAACATTGGAAGACCGCTATCATGTCTCCCCTGGTCCTTCTCTTCACTAGACTAGCCAGGCCCGGTTCCCACAACCGTTCTTCCTGTGTTTTAGCCTCCAGTCCCCTGATCATCTTTGTTGCTCTTCTCTGCACATCTATGATCTGCAGATCCAGAAACCTACCCATTTGGAGTTGCTGCCAACGCTGCTAACATCAGATGTTGTGTATTGACAACAGATGGAAATGAAGCCATCTTTTTCCCTTTCGCTTTTAGCGTTAGATGATGCTGGGAGGAGGGGGGATGTGAATGAGAGTCTGGCTAGACATAACAACACTAAACTCAGCCTGAGAATCAAGGTTATTGAGACCAGAGCTGATAAAAAAATTGGCGGGCTGGAGAACTGGAGAGGAAGCCCGCGCACGCTTCACGCTAATTGGGGAATGTGATTTGTGACTGTTAATTGGAGGAGGGAATCGTGCTTTGATACTATGTGCCCAGGGGAGGGGAATTCAGTTTTTGGCTTCGATTATGTAAGTGCCGATGTTATGCTACTCGAATCAAAGATTCTTTAAGGTAAACAATGCCTTGACGTTCTTTGGAAGAGTTTCATCGGTCGGAAGCATGACGCAACAGGATTTTAATTCTGCAGTGGTATGTAGGAAGGACCTCGGAAGAGGGATGAAAAGAGGCAGCAAGGGAAGATAAGTTAGATAAGAGACAGCTTAGCCCAGAGCTGCCTAATGCAGGGCTTTTCACCCAGTGGTACGGGGACCACCTGTGGTACATTGGCACCTGGCAGGTGTTACGCGGCCATCCTAGAAAAGTGGTAGTGGGGGAGGGGAATGAGCTGAACCAGTGGCAGCACCGCACAAGCCTGAGCGAGAGACGGCTGGAGCTGCAGGGCTGTCAGGGCTCAGCGGAAGCGCCAGGATCAGTGCCACTTTTCAGCTGATTGGCGCTTCTTTGGGACTGTCAGGGCTCAGCAGAAGCACCAGGATCAGCGCCAGGCTCCAGCTGGAGCCCGGTGCTGATCCTGGCGCTTCTGTTGAGCCCTGAAGAAGCACCAATCAGCTGGAATGTTGCAGCCTCTCCAGAGTCTTGTGATTTACATTCAGATGCTTGGCAACCGATTCATATTTATGACGGTCACAGTGTCCCAGGGTCATGTGAAGTGACCAAAACCTGCTGCAACCACTCAGCAGACGAGGGGAGAATAAAAACCAAACACTCCCCCACCCCACCCCTGCTGCCAATCCCCAACAGAAATGCTCACAACAATGGAAACCTCGGACAGGAGGAAGAGCGCCACCGGGCGGGCAGGCAGGTGTCTTGCTCAGCTGTGGCTTGGGGGGCACTTTTTTCAGTGCCATTGTAACTTCGAACAGTCACTAAGCGAATTGTTGTAAGTCGAGGACTCCCTGCACTTCGTCACTTTTTTCTTTTCTTTTTCTTTTGGTCATCAAGTTTTTGACACCTTGCTAGGCGACGGGTGGTACTCGGATATTGCCGTATCCTAAAAGTGGTAGAGTGGGTGAAAAGGTTGAAAAGCCCTGGTCTAATGGGTGGAGAAAGAGAAGAGATTCTCCCTAGATGTCTATGGAGATTCTCAGTTATCCCAAAGGTGCATTTTCAGGAGTCACCTAGATTTTCTTGCTTCAAAGCAATCCAGTTGCCTGGTGAAAAAGCACCTTTGGGTGACTCTCCCTAATTTCTTGGGCTGCAGAAGAGACCGTGGGGAAGAATTACACTTCCAGATTTGTCAGATTTATTTTTTTTTTGCCGATGTCATTTTGCAATCTAGGAGAATTAACTTATCTGATTGTGTTTTCCCCCCTCTGATCTACCTGCTCAAAGGTAGACAGGTTCCACCTACAAGAGAAACGAGTTTTGTTTTGTTTTTTTTAATTCTCGATGCTCTCGCCTGGATCTTGGCAAATCCTCCTCCACTTTCAGGCCCTGAAGCGGAAGCCGTCTCACATCCTCGTCTGAATAATCCCAATTTAATAGATTCCACAAAAGGCGTTTTTACATATTTCATAGCGCCAAGATGGCCCCAGGGAAACCCGGTCATTACAGGAGTAAAAACAGGTGAAAATAGATAAGATATAAAGCAACTTGAAGCACCATCTGCACGAAACTCAGCTCAGCTCTTTACTTGGGTGGACTTTCTGATTGTAAGTTTTTTTTGTTTAGTTTAATACACTACAATGGAAGAAGAATAGGAATGGATTTCTCCCACCGAGGAAGTACAGGAACAAATTCTTTATATGTTAAAAGCAATTATCCAAACTCTCCGTATGCACGCTCAAACTATGACTTCAACTAAAGAATCATCTATACAGAATTCTATCGAGAAAGGGAAACGACCAAATGCTATGACAGAAGACTTAGATACTCAACAAATACAAACAGTGGAAAACACACAAAGGAAACGGATAATAGAGAACAAGGAAAGGACTTTGCTTATAAACCAGAAGGAATTTGAAGATAAAAAAGAAAAACAGATGAAAGAGAAGATAAATACATCGGGACAACGGCACCGAATTGGAAATTAAAGGGATTTCTTCTCTCCCTCTTTCCCACCGTTGTAGGAGGATGCAAAAAAAAAAAAAAAAAAGGAACGAAACAGCTCATAATTTTCCCCCCCCAATTAGATCTTTTTATAGGTTACTTTTTCCAGTCGTAGCTCTTAGGCCAATGTGTGTGTCGGCATTGGCCCCTTTAAGATGGGTGGACTTCAACTCCCAGAATTCCCCAGCAGGAATTCTGGGACTTGAAGTCCACCTATCTTAAAATGGCCAAGGTTCGGAAACACTTTAGATGAATATAAATATGCAGATATCAAGGCAATGTGGAATAGAATTGACCACGGATGTTGATGCTTCTTGCTATTTATGACTACTAAACTACTGTTTCTAGTCCTCATGACCTGAACTTTGGAACTACCGGGCGATAATTAAACAACATGCAAAAAAAAGCGAATCGGTCTGGTTGAGTTTTCTAGAACATTCATTTCTGCAATGGATACTTTTTCTTTTCTTATTCAGGAGAATTTTTGGGAGTTTCTTGCACACACCAGCCCCTCCTTGCAATGTCTCACCTAAAATAGCTGAATATCCCTCACCCCTGCTAGTCTTCCTCCCCCTATATATTTTTTTTGGCAGGAAAGCAGATTCCCCCCCCCAAATGTTATCAAAACGTTATTAAATTAAAGGTAAAATATCATCTTCTGCGGAGTCAGGCGGTGTGGCTCGACCCGTTAAATGGAGACGCTGTTCTGGATCAGCGAAGGGTCGAGGTAGCGATAAGCAATGGGCAAAGCTTGGTTCCTTTCCTCGATTTCTTCAGAAATTACCGCCAGGCGTTTCTGGAAATGAGAAACAAGTTTTCGGGGCATCTCCTCCGTGAAATGTTCTTCAGGGTAGTGGCCCAAAGGTCTCTGAAAGCGAAGAAGATGGAGAACGTCACCTACGGAGGTGCAATCTTCAAACATGCTATCCACGTGCTAAACTGTGGTCAACAACCACAATACCTCAGGCTTGCCAGCATGGCTCAATTGCGAACATTGGAGTCACACAATGCTCTAGTTTTGTGCCTCAGTGTTACTGCCACTTTACAAGGCCTTGGTAAGGCCACACTTGGAATACGGCGTCCAGTTTTGGTCACCGCGATGTAAAAAAAGATGCTGAGACTCTAGAAAGAGTGCAGAGAAGAGCAACAAAGAGGATCAGGGGACTGGAGGCTAAAACATACAAGGAACGGTGGCTGGAATTGGGTATGGGACTCAGAGGACCTCAACTCTACCCCTTCGGGAATAAGGTCACCGTTCTATTTGCTCCTCTGTCTCTGTTAGCACCTTCTGACTCTTAAGTCCACTTACCAGGTCTCCTGGCTCGTAGCTGACGATGGACAGCAGGGACAACAAGGCACAAGTGGAGTTGACTTCAGGAAAGGTCTCCAAGATGCTTTTCAGGGAGGCTGTCCCTTTGACTGTGGGAGGAGGCTGTCTCAAAGTGGCTGGTGTGTTGGGCATCCATGCCGCAAAGTCAAACTGTCCCAACACACAAGGAACCCAAAATTAGAAGTTCTACAGAAGTTACAACAGTATCTTGGCTGTGTGTCCAGCCAATGGAGAAGACCTAAGGCAGGAATGGGGGAACTCAACGTGAAGGATAGGATTGTCCCCAAGGAGACCAGCAGCAGTAGAAAACCATCAAACTAAGGTTGAAAGGCGAGGTTGGAGCAAGAGTAGACCCAAGGAAACCAAAATTAGAAGTTCTCCAGAAGTTACAACAACCAATGGAGAAGATCTAAGGTAGGAACGGGGCAACTCAACGTGAAGGATAAGATTGTCCCCAAGGAGACCAGCAGCAGTAGAAAGCCATCAAACTAAGGTTGAAAGGCGAGGTTGGAGCAAGAATAGACCCAAGAAAACCAAAATTAGACGTTCTCCAGAAGTTACAACAGTATCTTGGCTGTGTGTCCAGCCAATGGAGAAGATCTAAGGCAGGAATGGGGCAACTCAACCTGAAGGATAAGGTTGTCCCCAAGGAGACCAGAAGCAGTAGAAAGCCATCAAACTAAGGTTGAAAGGCAAGAGTATACCCAAGGAAATCAAAATTAGATGTTCCACAAAAAGTAGGGCAGTATCTTAGCGGTGTGTCCAGCAAATGGAGAAGACCTAAGGCAGGAACTGGGGAACTCAACGGGAAGAACAAGGTTGTCCCCAAGGGGATCGGAAGCAGGAAGCCATCAAAGTAAGGCTCGAAGCCAAGGTTGGACCAAAACCAGCAGTTAGGAAGACATTAATTCAAGGCTAAGTCATCTTTAGAATGCAAATTTGCGGTCACACCCAGCCCTCGGCCATCGAGAGCTCTCAGTAGAGAAGAGCTTGGAAACTAAGTGTGTTTTGTCAGACAAGTTTTTTGGGATTCTTTTCCACACAAGAACCCTGAGGCCCAGTTTGAGTGTATTGTGTGTTCTGTCAAAGGCAATATTGTGATGACTCTCCTGTCCTCACAAATTTTGTCCTGGAAGGGGGCGTAGAAAAACAGACACACTTCTTTCTCTTCTTCATATTTCAGGAGACGCTGAAGGACATCCTCCAGCAGCGGCTGTAACTTTAAGACGCGTGGACTTCAACTCCCAGAATTCTCCAGCCAGCTAGGCCTGGCTGGCTGGAGAATTCTGGGAGTTGAAGTCCACCTGTCAGAAAGTTCCCCAGTCTTGCGAATCTTACTTAAACCCATGGCAAAGGATGAAAATTAGGGAAAAAAACCCACTTGATGAAGGAATCTCCTACCTGTCCACTATTGACCGCCGAATGTCGGGCAGAGCAGTTGAAGATGACCATAGTCAGAAACTTGCTCAGCTGAGCTTTGCTTTCCAAGGTGGATGGGATACCTGTTGGGGGGTGGACAGGATGATGGGCATTGTCCAAAGAAGTTACATTGATCAGGAAGACACGTGACCCTTGTCACAGAAGTTGGGACTCATCATGTAACCAGATGACACTCTATGGAGGCGTTCCTCAACCTCAGTCAGTTTAAGAAGTGTGGACTTCAGCTCCCAGAATTCCCCAGCCCGGGCTGGAGAAGTCTGGGAGTTGAAGTCCATATCTCTTAAATTTACCTGGAATTAATCTGGAATTCAGGAGAAACGTCCTGGCGGTGAGGACAATTAACCAGTGGAACTCCTTGCCTCCAGAAATCGTGGGCGCTCCATCACTGGAGGTTTTTAAGAAGAGACCGGACAGTCACTTGTCTGAGATGGTATAGGTTCTCCTGCTTGAGCGGGGGGCTGGACTAGAAGACCTCCAAGGTCCCTTCCAGCTCTATTCTATTCTATTCTATTCTATTCTATTCTATTCTATTCTATTCTATTCTATTCTATTCTATATTATTATTCTACTCTACTCTACTCTACTCTACTCTACTCTACTCTACTCTACTCTACTCTACTCTACTCTACTCTACTCTACTCTATATTCTATTCCATTCCATTCTATTTCTATATTATTATTCTACTCTACTCTACCCTACACTACCCTATTCTACTTCTATAATATTATTCTATTCTACTCTACTCTAGTCTACTCTACTCTAGTCTACTCTACTCTACTCTACTCTATACTCTATTCTATTCTATTTCTATATTATTATTCTATTCTATTCTATTCTATTCTATTCTATTCTATTCTATTCTATTCTATTCTATTCTACCAAGGTTGAGAAACACTGCTCCATGGGGCTCAAATAACATCTGGATACCTACACCTGCTGAATCCCAACCAAGCAGTGACCAGTTCCTGATGGTCAAGGCAGTTGAAAACACCACACAAGATCCACACCCACACACTGTAAATAGAGATAATTCCCCTCACTCGGAGGTGAGAGGGTGGAAATCTCGTAAAACGTCGCATATGGGGACATAATGTCCTGTAACATCTGCAGCTCTGAGAACTTAAAGGATGGTGGACCCTATAGCCTATTCTGACAGATGTCCAAACAAGGGATATATTATTCAGCTTGGCTTGTCCATGTAATTTTCACATCTCTAGAAAATCAGGTATTTGGGTAGAGAAGGGAAGGGAAGCACCAATCTCTGGTGGACCTATCACAAAAGTCTTATTTTTTTTAGCAGAAAGCCATCGGAGCATCAATGTTGACGGTGCACCTTCTTCCACCAGACCGTTCTTTTGTCTGTTCAACAGAGGACCCGTTCTGGAACCCAACCCAGTTGAGATGGTGTGGAGGAACCCAACTTGGTCTCCTCCATTTGGATTTGACCTCTGGCTGAGAAACTGAGAGAGCTCCTCAAGAGTTGGACTGGGAGGGTAGCAAATATTACCTGAAGATTCCCTACTCAGGAAAGCTTCGGTGAAGATCTCGTGAATCCAGGCTTGTAGCTCAGGATCCGTCTTCACGGCGGCGTCTGATTGGTAGTAGATGTCAACGATGCCAGAGACAAATCTGAAAATGACCAAAGCAAAATGGAGTTATTGGTGATCCTAAATCCCACGGGTCTACGATGACAGCCCGAAGAACGGAAAACCGAACAGATGTATCCATGCAACTTTGGACTATGGAGAAGCTCGGTTGCTGATGTTCTGTCCTCTGAGGATGTTGCAAAGAGAGGGGAGACTTCCAGAGGGAGGAAAGGTCCACGAGACCCAAGAATCCTGAAGGAGGTGTCTGCCAGAGTTCTTCAAGAATGGTAATTGGTCAAGAGACCTTGTGACCACACTAAATGGAGATTCCTAGATCGTCCAGCTCATGGTTGTCCCAAAGGTGCTTTCCCAAGAAGCAACTGGACTCTTGTTTTTCCTTGAAGACCTTTCGCTTATCATCTAAGGAGCTTCTTCAAGTTCCGAAGAACCGATCCCCTTTGCGCTGAAGAACTGAAGAAGCTTCTTGGATGAGAGGCGAGACGTCTTCAAGGAAAAACAAAGGAAGTCCAGTTGCCTTCGGGATTTCTGACCTCACACACACAAACACAAACACACACAAACACAAAACCAGTATCTGAACGTCTTCTAAACAAGCGGAGACTGCTCAGAGAATGGGGGAGAGTACCACGAGGCCAAGAATTCTGAAGGAGGCATCTGAGATACCTTTCCAGGAACCAGTATCTGAAAGTCTTCTAAACTGGTTTTATCTGTTTGGATATTATTATTTTTTTTAAGCTTGACAGGTGTTTTCTTAATCATCAGCTTTGCTAATTAAAGAGGGGAAGGAAGTTTTGGCTCCAAGGAATCCATTCGGCTGAGATTGCAGAAGCACATCTGGAAAATGAAGAAGTGACTTCAGACTTCCTCAATGAATACCTTCCACCCCCCCCAAATCCTTGGGGAACGATGTTGGATTTCCTTTCGCTTGGATCAGCCCCGTCTGTCTTTCCCGTTTCTTCCCTAAGACCCTGTGAGACAGAGGTCTGGTAGAGCTAAAACTGCTTTGATTAAGACGGGCTTCGCAACGTGACAACAATTTAGGTCAAAGTAGTTGTAGCCACATACGGGGTCCGTACTTCTTTTCAGCGAGGTCAGATCCACGTTTGGTCCTCCTGAAGAGAGAGCCCACCAAAACACAACTACCCAAAGCTCACTCACTTCTCGATGGCGGTCCAAATCTTCATCCCATCGTCCCGATAGTAGAACTTGGGCAAGTCGGAGACCCCTCTTTCTTCAAGGTCATCGGGGAGGCAGAGGGACGTGTAGTTGGAGAGTTCTACCCCTTTGGCTAGCAGTTTCAACATGCCATCGCGACCGGTAGCTGTGGCCTGGAGAAAGGGAGAGAGGAGGTCAACTGCCGTGTAGACCGATTTCTAGGAGAAGCTGAAGAGGATCTATCAGCTGATATCGGTGGGGCCAGTTGACCTGGGAGCAACCTACTGGGTCCTCCCGTCTTCCCACGAGGAGGTAAAGATGGGATCCTTCAGTGCCAGTGATAGAAATTGAGGGAACCCGTCCCTTGGAGCAGATGGTGAAGAACATCTGTCCAGTAACCGTTGGTGGGTTTCCAATTTGTCCTTCTAGACCAGAGATAGGAAACCTTGGCTCTTTTATGACTCGTGGACTTCAACTCCCAGAATTCCTGAGCCAGTTGGCGATACAGAATTAGTCGAAAACCAAGACCTTCTAATCCAAGGGTCTCCAAACTGGGCAGTTTTGTGGACCTCAACTCCCAGAATTCCTCAGCCAGCCATGCTGGCTCAGGAATTCTGGGAGTTGAAGTCCATGAGTCATAAAAGAGCCCAGGTTGCCTACCCCTGTTCTAGACTCTCATTGAGATCTTCTAAATTGTTTGTTGGTTCCTCGGCTACATTTCTGATCTGTTAGAACAGGGGGTCTCCAAAGTTGGCAACTTTAAGACATGTGGACTTTAACTCCCAGAATCCTTGAGCCAGCATGGCTGGCTGAGGAATTCTGGGAGTTGAGGTCCACAAAGCTGCCCAGTTTGGAGACCCCTGGATTAGAAGGTCTTGGTTTTCGACTAATTCTGTATCACCCACTACTTTTAGCAGAGTCGTATTTCTACATCTCTCTAACTAAGAAGTGTTTTGTAAAGTTGAGGTCCGCAAGTCATAAAAGGGTCATAGTTCCCTCACGCTGGCTGAGGAATTCTGGGAGTTGAAGTCCACAAGTCATCAAAGGGCCAAGTTTGAAGACCCCTGATGTAGAGAAATGGTGGCGAATGTTAAAGACACTCAAACCAATCATATTTCAAATTGAGAAAATAAGTCTCAATAAAAACAAGTTTGGTTGGTTTGGCAGCCTCTAGAAGGTGCGCGTGTGAAGTTGTGTTCTCTGGACGAACTCTTGATGTAGACTCAGCAGGCCAAAACTTTTCTGTTGTCAAAAATATCTCTTTGTTTTGAAGATTTCTTACCTTATCGAAGACCCCGCCAGGCTGGATGAGACTGGTTCGGGCAAGGGTATTAATATGGAGGGTGTAACGAGTATGAGGTATCAGGAGCTACAATAAAGAAAAGAGGGAGGGAGGGAGGGAGGGAGGAAGGAAGGAAGGAAGGAAGGAAGGAAGGAGAGACAGAAAGAAGGGAGGATGGAAGAAAGAGAAAAGAAGGGAGGGGAGGGAGGAACGAAGGAAGGAAGGGGAAAGAGAGAAGGGAGAAAGGGAGGACAACAGAAAAGGGGTGGGAGGAACGAAGGGGAAAGAAAAGGGAGAAAGGGAGGAAAATAGAAAAGAAGAAAGGGGAGGGAGGAAGAAATGAAGGAAGGAAGGAAGAAGAGAAAGAGAAAGGGGGATAGGAGAAAGAGGACAATAGAAAAGAAGGGAGGGAGGAGGGAGGGAGGGAGGAAGGAAGGAGAGACAGAAAGAAGGGAGGATGGGAGAACAATAGAAAAGAAGGGAGGGAGGGAGGAAGGAAGGAAGGAGAAATAGAAAGAAGGGAGGATGGGAGAAAGGGAGGACAATAGAAAAGAAGGGAGGGAGGAAGGAAGGAAGGAAGGAAGGAAGGAGAGAGAAAGGAGGATGGGAGAAAGGGAGGAAAATAGAAAAGAAGGAAGGGGAGGGAGGGAGGAAGGAAAGGAGAGAAAGAGAAGGGAGGATGGGAGAAAGGGAGGACAATAGAAAAGAAGGAAGAGGAAGAAAGGAAGAAAGGAAGGAAGGAAGGAAGGAGAGAGAGAAAGAAGGGAGGATGGGAGAGGGAGGAAAATAGAAAAGAAGGAAGGAGGGAGGGAGGGAGGTAGAAAGGAAGGAAGGAGAGAAAGAGAAGGGAGGATGGGAGAAAGGGAGGACAATAGAAAAGAAAGGAAGGAAAGAAGGAAGGAAGGAAGGGATACTGATTAGACTTCAACAGGGAAGATAATTTGGGGAATTCTGAGATTTGACGTTTCCCCATCTTAAAGGGGCCAAGTTAAAAAAAATAGCGCTGCAGACCCCAAAGGTGTTGATAAGGTCCCCCTAGCTGGGGGATCCCAGAGTCCCTGGCTTTTCAAAGCCTCCGTGGTCACCTTCCCAGGTTGGCTTTGAAGGCAACAAACCCATCTTCAGAAGCTGACTCTCTCAACGTGGCCTCAGGACAAATCGGTCGACCCCTCCAGATTATCTCTGGGAACCCCCCAACAGGTGCGCAAGACCCGGGACCGGCGTGCACCTTCCTTCTCCAGACAATTACCTTGTAGATAGGGTGGCACATCGGGAGCTGCCGAAGAGTCGCCATGGTGTAGACCTCGCAGTGGAAGTGGGCTTCCAGAAGGTGGGTGATGACCTCGTGGACGTGGAAGTTGGCCATTCGCACCCAGATCTTGGCTAGCGTCCAGTCCCACTTACGGTCGGTGGGCAGGAAGATGGGGCTTTCCAGGCTGTGGGTCTGGCTCAGCTGGGAAGAGGGGGGAGAGACGGGATGTCAGCACATTCAGCCTCACTCAACAGCTCCTCCCCACCCAACTGGTGTCCAATTGTCTAGAAACAGAGGGCAGATGCTACTGCCTTCCATCACTGATGTTGTTACCTAGTTGGGTCATGAAACGTCTGCAAGGAAACAGCCAAGCTCAGAGAGCACCAAAGACCCCACAGTCCTTAAGCACGGAATTCTGGGCATTGACGTCCACCTATCTTAAGCACGGAATTCTGGGAGTTGAAGTCCACCTGTCTTAAGCATGGAATTCTGGGAGTTGAAGTCCACCTATCTTAAACATGGAGTTCTGGGAGTTGAAGTCCACCTATTTTAAGCATAGAATTCTGGGAGTTGAAGTCCACCTGTCTTAAGCATGGAATTATGGGAGTTGAAGTCCACCTATCTTAAGCGTGGAATTCTGGGAGTTGAAGTCCACCTATCAAGAATGGAATTTGGGAGTTGAAGTCCACCTATCTTAAACATGGAGTTCTGGGAGTTGAAGTCCACCTATCTTAAGCGTGGAATTCTGGGAGTTGAAGTCCACCTGTCTTAAACATGGAGTTCTGTGATTTGAGGTCCACCTATCTTAAGAATGGAATCCTGGGAGTTGAAGTTCACCTATCTTAAGCATGGAATCCTGGGAGTTGAAGTCCACCTGTCTTAAACATGGAGTTCTGTGATTTGAGGTCCACCTATCTTAAGAATGGAATCCTGGGAGTTGAAGTCCACCTATCTTAAGCGTGGAATTCTGGGAGTTGAAGTCCACCTGTCTTAAACATGGAGTTCTGTGATTTGAGGTCCACCTATCTTAAGCATGGAATCCTGGGAGTTGAAGTCCACCTATCTTAAGGATGGAATTCTGGGAGTTGAAGTCCACCTATCTTAAGCATGGAGTTCTGGGAGTTGAAGTCCACCTGTCTTAAACATGGAGTTCTGGGACCTGAAGACCGGAAATCTCAAGCGTGGACTTTTAGGACTTGAAGACCAGCTATCTCCACCCACCTTCCAGGGGCCCCAAGGTTGAGAAACCACCATCAACCCTGTTACCTGGATAGCCATCGGCATCATCTGCTCCTCCGAGTTGAGGTACAACAGGCAAATCGGGGCTGCCAGATACTGGTGCTTCCCGTTCAGCTTGCACGTCGGGATGTCCTCCAGGATCTTGTAGTCGGCAATGAAGATGTTCCCCTTCTGAGTAGGAGAGAGAGATGAAGGAAAACGGGTGTGAATTCAGCCTAGATCTGCAACTCCGGAAAATCCAGATTTCCCAGTTGGGACCTGAAGGATGCCAGGTCTCCTTCTGTTTGCAACCATCCGAGGAGACCAATCCACCGTCGTTCCCATGTTAGAAAGGGTGGGAAGAACACGGAAGAACCTGTTTTGGGTTCTACCATGAATTGGTGGCTCAAGCAAGATTTTGAAGACCCATCTCCCCAATTCAGATCCGATCCGAGTTCCGATTTACTCATCCTACAACTCAGATCTTTACCAGGAGACCCCTTGGGGAGGTTGAAACCCCCCCCCCCAATTTGCAATATATGCAAATATTCTCCTTTATTGAATTCAGAATTAGAATAACAAGAGTTGGAAGGGATCTTATAGGTCATCTAGTCCAGGGGTCTTCCAACTTGGCCCTTTGATGACTGGTGGACTTCAACTCCCAGAATTCCTCAGCCAGGCACGCTGGCTGAGGAATTCTGGGAGTTGAAGTCCACCAGTCTTAAAGTGACTGAGGAATTCTGGGAGTTGAAGCCCACCAGTCTTAAAGTGACTGAGGAATTCTGGGAGTTGAAGTCCACCAGTCTTAAAGTCACTGAGGAATTCTGGGAGTTGAAGTCCACCAGTCTTAAAGTGACTGAGGAATTCTGGGAGATGAAGTCCACCAGTCTTAAAGTGACTGAGGAATTCTGGGAATTGAAGTCCGCAAGTCATCAAAGGGCCAAGTTGGAAGACCCCTGATCTAGTCCAACTTTCCCCCAAACAGGAGACCTTACACCAGGGGTCTTCAAACTTGGTCACTTGAAGACGTGTGGACTTCAACAGCCGGCTGAGGAATTCTGGGAGTTGAAGTCCACACGTCTTCAAGTGGCCAAGTTTGAAGACCCCTGCCTTACACCATTGATCCTTGGAAGATTCTCCAGGGACTCAAGGAACGTCCAAGTCCCTCAAACGGTCCATCTTCTCCAACCCAACCGATGGGTCCTCCTATTCCTAGGGGTTACCTTCAGTTCTTCTTCAAGGGTGGATTTCCCCAAGATACCAATGACCATCTCGTCCGTCACCGGGAAGTTTTCCGGGATCTGGGTGCACTTCCGGAGCAGGACGGGGTTGACCCCGTTGAGGAACTGGTAGCCAAAGAACTCGTCATCCATCCAGTGGTCCATGACGTATTCTGGATTTATAGAAAGGCTTCTTAGAGAAGGCTGGGGGAGCCACATGGCCAAGGCTAGATATGGAGGCATTGAAGAAGGAAAGAGAGGGAAGGGTAGGATAGGACAGGCTCCAAAACTCTCATCACACGACTGGGGTCTAGTCCTCGACTTACGGCGGTTTGTTTAGTGACCGTTCAAAGTTACAATGCCCGTGGAAAAAAAGGGACTCGCGATTGATTTTCCCGCTTGGCGACCATCGCAGCATCCCACACGATCACGGGATCAAAATTCAGACACTTGGCAACCGACTCGTATTTATGACGGTCGCGGCGTCCCAGGGGGGGAGGGGTCGCCTGATCCGCTTTTGCGACCTTCCGACCGGCAAAAGTCAGCAGGGGGAAGCCGGATTCGGTTAATGACAGTCACGTCATCCGCTTTTACGACCTTCCGACTGGCAAAGTCAGCGGGGGAAGCTGGATTCGCTTAACGACGGTTGCGTGATCCGCTTTTGAGACCTTCCAACCGGCAAAAGTCAGTGGGGGGAAGCTGGATGCACTTTATGACAGTGTTACTAGCTTAACAGCTGCAATGATTAACGACATTGGCTTAGGGGTCTTAGGAAAAGCCAAAAAAAAAAAAAAGCAGGAAGTGGGGAGTAAAAAGCATGATGGAAGTGCATGAAATGGAATGTGGAGCGGAAAAAATAGGAGAGGAAAAAGCAGTTCTCTCCCTCTCTTTCTTTTCTAAGCTCCTGGTGTGATCCAATAAATTGAAATAAATATTGTGCCTCTTTCATCTATAGCTACAGTATTTATCTTTCATCTCTCTCTCTCTCCATCTCTCCTCATCCATCTCTCTCTCCATCCACCCCTCTCTTTCTAATCTCCCTCTCTCCATTTCTCCATCTCTCTCTCTCTATCCATCCACCCCTCTATCTAATCTTTCTCATCTCTCCATTTCTCCATCTCTCTTATCCCTCTCTCCATCCACCCCTCTTTATCTAATATTTCTCTCTCTCCCCATTTCCATCTCTCTCCTCATCCATCTCTTTCTCTCCATCCACCCCTCTATTTAATCTCTCTCTCTCTGTCTCTCTCTCCATTTCTCCATCTAGCTCTTTCTCCATCTCTCTCCTCATCCATCTCTCTCGCTCCATCCATCCATCCCTATCTAATCTCTCTCTCTCTCTCCATTTCTCCATCTCTCTCATCCATCTCTCTCTCTCCAACCATCCCTCTCTATCTAATCTCTCTCTCCCTCTCTCTCTCCCCCTGTCTCTCTCTCTCTCTCTCTCTCTCTCATCCATCTGACCTGCCTATTCTGCCTGGTTCTGGACCCCGCTTGGCAAAGGGGAGACCCACCTGTGACGGGAGTTTTGTGAAACCAGAAGATTTTGCGGAGGTCATCCAGACTCTCCCACGACTCCACCAGGTTGGAGAAGCCCTTCAGCCTCAGTTCGATCTCCCTGCGAGGAAGGACAGGAACGGGGGATGGATGACGGCGAGAACCCCCAGGATGCCCATCAATTAAACAGACTCTCTCTCCCTCTCTCATCTATCATCCATCCAGTGTATCTCCCTATCTATCTATCTATCTATCTATCTATCTATCTATCTATCTATCTATCTATCTATCTATCTATCTATAGCTATCTTTTCTCTCTCTATATATATATATCTATGTATCATTCTCTCTATCATCTATCTATCTATCTATCTATCTATCTATCTATCTATCTATCTATCTATCTATCTATCTATCTGTCATCTCTCTCTCTCTCTATTTCTCTTTCTCTCTATCATCTATCCATCTATCTATATCTATATACTCTCTCTATATATAATCTATGTATCATCTCTCTCTCTCTCTCTCTCTCTCTCTTTCTCTCATCTATCTATAGCTATCTTTTCTCTCTATATACAGTATATATATATATCTATGTATCATTCTATCTATCTATCTATTTATTTATCTATCTCTATCATCTATCTATAGCTATCTTTTCTCTCTATATATATCTATGTATCATTCTCTCTATCGTCTATCATCTATCTATCTATCTATCTATCTATCTATCTATCTATCTATCTATCTATCTATCTATCTATCTATCATCTATCTATTTCTCTATTTCTCTCTCTCTCTCTCTCTCTATCTATCTATCTATCTATCTCTATCTCGCTATTTCTCTTTCTATCATCTATCCATCTATCTATATCTATATGCTCTCTCTATATATAATCTATGTATCCTCTCTCTCTCTCTCTCTCTCTCTCTCTCTCTCTCTCTCTCTCTCTCTCTCTCTCTCTCTCTCTCTCTCTCTCTCTCTCTCTCTCTCTCTCTCTCTCTCTCTCTCTCTCTCTCTCTCTCTCTCTCTCTCTCTCTCTCTCTCTCTCTCTCTCTCTCTCTCCCTACCTACCTACCTACCTACCTACCTATCACTCTATCTTCAGCCAAAGCTGAAACCCGGATCCTGAACCACAACCTCCGTTACTCACGACTTGAGGGTGCGCACGGCAAAGACGGCGGTTTTGCTGAGCGAATACTTTGAGTTCGAATGCAGGTCGTCGATGGTGTGGGCGTCCACGCATCTCGGCCAGCCCGGGGCATACTTCTTCCAGCTGTTGTGAGAAAATGCAAAAGATTGTTTTCTCTCTCTCTCTCTCACACACACACACACAAAGACTATGGAACTCCTTGCTACATGGCACAATAGGTGCAAAGATTATTGTTGGAAGTCTCTTGTTTGTCAGCTTTGAATGTGCAGCTACAGATGTGAGTTCCCCATTTCAAGCCTCCTTTGTACTACACACACAAGGACAGACGCACACAGACACACAGAGGCACACACACACACACACACACACACACAAAGATGTATACACAGACAAATGCGCACACAGAAATACACAAACTCACACTCACAGACACAGGCACACAAACAGCACTGAAACACACCTACACACAGTCACAGACAAACATGCACACACAGGCACGCAGATACAGACCCACAAACATGCACACGCTGACCCACACACACACACAGAGACCCACGGATACAGTCACGCAAACACGCACACCCAACCTACAGATACAGACAAGACAACCATGCACCCACCGACCCACACAAACACAGCAGACACTCAAAACACACAGACCCACAGACCCAAGCAGGCACACACACAGACCCCCCACAAATGCACAAACCTGCGCACGCAGACCCACACAAACGCACAGACCCACAGACACACAGATGACACGGGCACAGGCACCCAGATCAATGCCCACACAAGAAACACACACGGACACAGACACACAAACCTGCACACACACACAGACACAGACACACACACGCTCTATTCTGTCCGATCACACTTGTTTCAGATCACAACCTTCCAGGTGAAGGGGATGCAACTTTGGGGAGGGGGGTGTTCCCTAATTCAGGGGAGAAATTGAATTGGAAGGCGACCGTTCCCCGCTTGCAGAAATCTAGCAGCTCAAGCCAGTGGCCCTTTCTGCCCCAGAACCCCACTTTTCGGGGTCCTTCTTCGACACCCTCGGTTTCTGGGGTTCAGGGGAGCAGATTTGGGGGTCCTGGGGGGTCTCCAGAGAGAGAGGAGGGGGGGTTGCCTTGCTCACCCGTAGCTTTCCTGCCGTTTGGCCAGCTCTTTCTTGCGATGCTCCAGCAGCGAAGGGCTCCCCGCATCGTCTTCGATCGTTCTGGCTGCAGGGAAGGAGAACCGAAGGCCGGTTTGGGGGGGGGTCAGAGTGGGGAAGCCGCCCCCCAAAAAAACTCAGGATGTGCCCCCAGCCTTCCCTAATGAAGCAGGGTGGCTGTGGAGTGCTGGAGACTCGTGGCATGCTCAGAGGCACCCATTTCACGGGCGAAGACTAAGTCCAGAATCTTTCCAAGCCTGGCACACACACACTGCTATCCCGGAGATAGCTAATCCCCAGAGAGCAAGGGTGCTGGGGATGCTGGTTATTGTAATACCGGGCCTCCGGGTGCCTTCGTCTAAGGCTCTTTCCACCCCCTATTCCCCACCCCCCCAGAACATCAACCCTGTGAGGTGGGTTGGGCCGAGAGGGAGGGACTGGCCCAAGGTCGCCCAGAAGGGTTTCGCGCCTAAGGTGCGACTCGAACTCACAGCCTCTGGGTGATTGGGCCAAAGTCACCCAGCCGGCTTTCATGCTTAAGGTGGAACTAGAACTCCCAGGTCCCTGGTGGCTGGCCCAAAATCATCCAGCTGGCTTTCATGACTAAAGCAGAACTAGAACTCACAGCCTCCTGGTGATTGGGCCAAAGTCACCCAACTAGCTTTCATGCCTAAGGCGGGACTAGAACTCGCCATCTCCTCGTGATTGACTCAAAGACACCTAACCAGCTTTCGTGCTTAAGGTGAAACTAGAACTCCCAGGTTCCTGGAGATTGGCCCAAAGACATCCAGCTGGATTTCATGGCTAAGGCGGAACTAGAACTCCCTGTCTCTTGGTGATTGATTGAAAGTCACCCATATAGCTTTCATGGCTAAGGCGGGACTAGAACTCCCCATCTCCTGGTGATTGGCTCAAAGACACCTAATCAGCTTTCATGCTTAAGCTGGAACTAGAACTCCCAGGTTCCTGGAGATTGGCCCAAAGTCATCCAGCTGGCTTTCATGCCTAAGGCGGAACTAGAACTCACCGTATCCTCGTGATTGGCTCAAAGACACCTAACCAGCTTCCGTGCTTAGGCTGGAACTAGAACTCCCAGGTTCCTGGAGATTGGCCCAAAGTCATGGCGAAAGCAGAACTACAACTCCCTGTCTCCCGGTGACTGATTGAAAGTCACCCCTATAGCTTTCCTGGCTAAGGCGGGACTAGAAGTCCCCGACTCCTGGTGATTGGCCCAAAGACACCCAGTCGGCTTTCATGGCGAAGGCGGAACTAGAACTCCCATCTCCTGGAGCAAATTAACCCCTACTGCACCGTGCCATCTGCTGCTGTGACTTGAAGACCCGCTCTGTGGGGGCGACCCAGCCAGCTGGGTC